TTCTTTTTGACCTTTGTACTATTGATTTGGGAGATTTATTCATCCGTACATAGGAAGTTGATGAGATTTTATCTGAATTTATCAACCAAGGATCTTGGAACTTTAGTCAATGATACGAAATAAATGTAGATGTGGCTGGTTTTACCTTGGAATTTAATTGCAGGTCATAATTTCTGGGAGTTTTGTTTAATTTAAGTTACTTTTTGCAGTTGAAGCTTTAACCTCTTTCAAAAGAGCTGTTTTTGAGGACCCATTACTGGCATTGTCCAATTGGAACCCTCTTGATTCCAATCCTTGTAGTTGGTCTGGTGTTTATTGTTCTATAGCTGGAGAATATGTCTTAAAGATGTAAGATTTTTGGTTTGGCGATGTTTAATCAACTACATATTTTTCAATATGCTGCATCTTTTTTCTCTTCTAAGAACTAAAGAATAACTTCTATTTCTGATTCCATTTGAATTTCAGTAACATATCCAGGGCATCTTTAAAGGGTTTCATTGCACCAGAATTTTACCAACTCACCTATCTGCAAGAACTGTAAGCAATTGCTTTATATGTTAATTTTCCTATCTTGTTTTTATTATTATTGAAATTATGTAAGCATGCTAATATGATAATCAAACCTCTGTCTGATTTACAGTATTTTGCATGGGAATTTGTTGATTGGTACAATACCCAAGGAAATTGGCTTGTTGAAAAACTTGAAGGTATTGGATTTTGGATCGAATCAGCTGACAGGTCCAATCCCACCTGAGATTGGAAACTTAACCAGCATTCAGAAAATGTTAGTCTGACATGACAAATTGACATGTTGATACCTATATTTGTGGACATTTATGTCTTTGGAGTTCTTGCTTCTCCTTATTCCAATCAAATTTTTTATCTTGTGTATTTTTAGAAACCTTCAATCGAATGGCTTGACTGGAAAGCTGCCTAATGAACTTTGTAATTTGAAATACCTTGGGGAGCTTCGACTTGATAGAAACAAGTTCATAGGAAATATTCCGGGTGGTAATAGCTCAACATTTCCATCAGCAATGAATGGAATGTAAGTCGAAAATATTTGAGTAACTTTAGGATTCGCAAATAATTTCTTTTAAATGTCCAACTTAGTGTNATTGTTGTTTTTATGGAAGGGGGTTGGGAGTTGCTACTGTTTTATTAAATGCTTATATTTGTTTAGAACTAGTTTCGTTAAATGCTTGAATTCCAAAGATATATTTTTTTTTCTTTTTGTTTATCTTAATGTTGTTTAATGAATAATTACTTCATAGGTATGCTTCGAAAAGCGCAAGCCTTATGGGATTCTGTGGATCCACACAGTTAAAGGTAGTTGACTTATCGTACAACTTTCTGGTTGGGATCATACCTAAGTGCTTGGGGTATTTACCAAGGTACTCCATTTATTTTCTTTTACTGTTTTCCTATAGCTTGGTATATGTATTTTCTACTGTTCATAGCTTTTATTTTATGCTTAACATTAACTTCAGTCATTTGGCTATAGATCAAGCTTTCAGGGAAATTGCTTTCAAGATAAAGATCCCAAACAGCGTCCTGCAACTCAATGTGGTATGTGATTGTATTTACCTACATCACTCAACTCTTGGGAGCTTTGACCCAAATAAGCTTAAAAAAGAAAAAAAAATAGGAAAAAGAAAATGAAAATAGGAAAGTGCTTGAATTTTTGTTTAGGGAGTAACTGATAAAGGGCATGGGATAATATAAAAATTTACCCTGAGTTTGAGGTAATTACAAAAAGGAATTTGCAGCAAACTTGAAAAATGTTCAAGAAGCGCTCGTGAGACTTCATTCCCTCTCATTTTTTCCTATCTGTTAGTTGATGCCACAAAGTTCACTTATGTCATTAAATACTTTATAATTAGACCATCTGCTCCTCAAAGTGTTCTGCATGAGCGTTTTTAGTTGGGTTATTTGTTGGTTTACTAGGAATGCTTTTGTAAAATATATATTTCATTATATCAGCAATTTTCATTAACTAGGTGCAAAAATGCAAGACAGATGTACTATATGTGAGGATCTTGTATAGCTTTAAAACTTAGCCGGATTATTTTCTCGTGATCTGACCAAACCTCAAAGTGTTAGCTTTTATAACTCCATAAATTTGATACAACACCCTTTGATTTTAATGAACTTCTGAACTGTGAATTTTGATCCTTTTGTTCGTTAAACTTGCACCTATGCAACAAAAGTAATTATAACTGTAATAACAGGCACACCTCATCCGCCCATCAAAACTCATCCGAGAGTTGGCACAAAGCACGGGCCTATGGAAGATAAGTTCAAGCACAAGTCAAATGATTCAAAACCTGTATGGTTGTTAGCTCTCGAAATCGTAACAGGAATAATGGTTGGTTTGCTCTTTGTGGTTGCTGTTTTCACCGCCTTTCACAAATTGAAGCGAAAACCTTCGATCATTATTCCATGGAAGAAATCTGGAAGTACAAGGGACTACATGACCATTTACATAGGTTCAATTTACTCTCTTTTACATTTGTTATTTCAAAATTAAATCTTTTAACTTCTTCATATCCGGTGTCTAATTGCTAAATAACTCCAGTTACAAATACAACCCCCCACCCCAGAAAGAACGAAAAATAAAACAAAAATAATGGGAAATAATACGTAAGTTAAATTACTCCAATTACGAATACCAAACACATCTTTCGTTTTGAGGTTGTAATATGTAAGCTAGAAACAGATGTTTGATGGGTATTGTAATCATAAGAGAAAAATGATTCTTCTCTATTTTGGTATTCAGACAAAACCACTGGATTCTTCTTAATCCATCATACGTTTCTATTTTTGTAGTGCTAAAAATGAAATTCTTGTGCAGATTCTGAAGCATTGAAGAATGTGGTAAGATATAGCAGACAAGAACTCGAGGTAGCCTGTGAAGATTTTAGCAACATCATTGGCTCATCTCCAGATAGCCTTGTGTACAAAGGCACATTGAAAGGTGGGCCCGAAATTGCTGTGATATCCCTTTGCATCAAAGAAGAGCACTGGACAGGCTACCTCGAACTTTACTTTCAACAAGAGGTACCCTTCTTCCTATTTTTGCATGTAAGCATTTATGGATTATTACGGAACTGCCATCGAATAAGAAGCATGATTTTATGTGTCCATGCTCAGGTGGCTGATTTGGCGAGATTAAGTCACGAAAACATAGGGAAATTGCTAGGATATTGCAGAGAGAGCAATCCATTTACGAGGATGCTGGTATTTGAATATGCATCGAACGGGACATTCTATGAGCACCTTCATTGTACGTAGTTAATGTTATGACAACATTTTTCTCTCCCTTGTGTAGATTTGAGTAGTTAAATCAATTTTTCTTTTACTGATAAATTTCAGATGGAGAAGGATGTCAGTTTTCTTGGACCCGTCGCATGAAAATTATTATTGGTATTGCTCGGGGACTGAAATATCTTCATACAGAGCTTAATCCTCCATTTACTATATCTGAATTGAACTCTAGCTCTGTTTATCTGACTGAAGATTTTTCTCCTAAGGTCAGTATTGTTCATTTACATCACATGCTATGATCATCATCCACTTACTTCCACTTGTCTGATCAGTTGTTTAGGGGGCGATTGGATATAAATTGAATAGTAAAAAATTCAATCAAAACTCAAATTTAACTCAACTTTAACTCAATCTCACTATCTTCAATATTACCAATATAATTAAATAATATCAACCAATCATTCTTACACATCAAATCAACTTTAATTCACTATTCATCCACTCACATAATTTTAACTAACCATCACTTCCAATCATTTTTCTCCTACTTTACATCAAATCAACTTTAATTATTTTATTTAAATATTATTTATATATATCCACTAACAACTAACCATACCTCTTTTTTCCAAAATTAACTATAGTTAAAAACAAACCAAATAAAAACTAGTTGAATCCATAAACAATCACCCCCTTACTCTCTTTCTCTCTCTACTCAACTTGTTTTGTAGCTGGTTGATTTTGAATGCTGGAAAACAGTTCTCTCGAGATCAGAAAAGAGTTCAGACACAATCAGCAATGAAGGGGCTGTTTGTATTCTTCCAAATTCCTTGGAAAGACGCAATCTTGATATTCAAGGGAACATTTATGCTTTTGGGATTCTTTTACTTGAAGTTGTGAGTGGCAGACCTCCGTATTGCAAAGACAAAGGCTCCTTAGTCGACTGGGTAAGCAAATCATGATTCTTTGATAATTAGCTTACTTAAAAAAAAAGTGTAATTGTCTTCCAAATTCTTGAAAAAATGTAATTTTCTTTCAGGCATTATATGTAATTTATAGTACTTTCCAGATATTAGCCTTAGTAAGGAAAGGAACTATATTAGTGTTTTAATTTTGGTTTGTTATTTTAACTGCAGGCAAAGGAATATTTAGAATCGCCAGATGGCATGGCACGTGTGGTGGATCCTGAACTGAAACATTTCAGACAAGAAGATCTTAAGGTGATATGTGAAGTGGTGAACTTATGTATTCATCCGAGTTCGAGCATGAGGACATCCATGAGTGAGTTGTGCTCGATGCTCGAAAATGGAATAGACACATCAATATCGGCCGAGTTTAATTCATCCTCTTTAGCTTGGGCTGAACTCGCACTTTCTTCATAGTGAGGCTGACTTTGATAATTGGGAAAATATTAATGGGGCTGATCACTCGATCTTTCTCCATGGTGAGGCTGACTTTTGTGATCGAGAATAGATGATAAGAATAACGATTTTTTTTTTTTTTTTTTTC